TTCTTCTAGTTCATCACTGTGCGAATAAGTTCAGGATGAGACCATCTCAACAAACCGTTTGCTAAGTAACTCCTGGAGTTTTTCAGATGCCAATTGGAAGAGGAAGGTGACTTCGGACTGTTTGCGTTTGAAGTTTTCTATGCTGAATGCGTATACAGAGAGTTCTTCCACCCCAAAATCTTTGCACCACCTAAGAGTCTGTGAGGCTTTATCCTAAAAACTCAATGGACAAACTTACCTCAGACAACTTCAGGAACCCATGCGTATGCCCATCAGAACAAGGCAAGTTTTTCCGGTCTGCATAACGCCGATTTCCATCCATGATAAAGCCCACATGTTTCGGAATCGGGCCACACTTCAGAATGCGCATACAACAACGCTGAATGAAATTATACTGAGGTTCTCTGCAGACCCACGTCATATTTACCGCCGTTTGTGTACATAAGCAAAGCTGTGGAAAATAAAGTGCCTATTTGATGAGTCTTCGAAATAACCATTACAACAATCACATACGTACGCCGCATGATGAATAAATATTAACACTTGGGCTTTCTTCATTCTGGCTTCTCGTGTATTGTGCGTTGCTAAGACAACGCATTCAGCATACAGCAATGAATCACATACTGCTCCAAGAACGGTTCGATGTTGAACCTAGCTCACCATATGCTACAAGACAGTGGAGCCATTGGTACAGAACTTTTCTCAGCCTCCTCCAGCACGTGGATAATTTAAAACCCGACAAACTGGATATACTGATTTCAAGCCTCCACTACTGCAGTGGAGTGAGAACCCTATGAAATGGTAATGCGGACAATCAGTAGGTTTTCAGTTATGGACTTTCGTGTGCGAGTTTTGCCCAATATCTTTTGCCCTATCAGTTTGGATGAACAGTAGGAGAAAGGCAGGAAAATTGAAAACACAGTCGAAGAGAAAATGAAGAATTTCAGTGGACTAAGATTGCAAAGAAACTGAGATGCACGAACGCCACTGTTTAGGATACCCAGTCATATCACCAAGTGTCTCTAACCATCGCTTAAAAACATCCCAAGGTCGCCATCCTAACGGGACCTATAAAACCGAGTCTCCTGGTTTGTGTTTTCATACCCGCTTGCCAGGTTTTAGCTTGAACACCCCCGGCTTTATTCCATCACCTACGGATGCCACATTTAAGAGCATGCAAATACCTCAAACGCAAGCTCATCAAGAGTCTGAGGAATGACCGCGAGAAGCAGTGGATAGGCAAGCATAAAAAGATGGAGAAAGCTGCCGCTATTGTTATTAACGGCAATCTTTTCCATTTGATTACGAATACGGGCCTGGGAAAATAGGCGTGAGGTAATTACGGAATCCAATGGCACACTATTTTACCATCAGCAACGCCATCTTAACCGTTGGACTGAACACTTCGAGACTCACTTCAGCAGCCCCCCTTCGATATCTGAAGTATCACCCTCCACCTAGACTGGGCAAATACTGCCAGTTGATGCCAGTTCACCATCTGAAATGAAGGTTTTCAGGAAAATAAGCCACCTCAAAACGCATAAGACCTCCGGCTCAGATGGGCTGTCCCCATCGGCTTTTTAGGAGGAAACCTCAACTTTGGTTTCGGAGTTAACAAAACACCTGAGCTCAGTGTGAGAGAGGGAAGAGGTTACAACGGAATGATGTGAATCGGTCATCATACCGATTTACAAGAAAAGTGGCAAATCTTGTAAAAAAACAGAGGAATTCGTTTAATCAACATAGTCTCTGAACTTCTCGCTGGCACCATACTCCGTTGATTGACTGCAGCACGTGAACGGTATAGGTTGTATCGACCACATCCTCACTCTTCACCAAACTCTTGAGCACCGACATTCTTTTCGTAGACCTATCATCTGTCTTCCTGGATCTGAAAGCGGCCTTCGGCTCAGTCGACCGCTCTAAACTCAGGCGCGCCTTTCACTGAAAGGTATGCCCGAGAAATTAATTTCAATATTACAATCCCTTTATACTAATAACCGAATTCGAGTCCGAGCTTACGGCACGTTTTCACCCGAGTTCACCACGGAAAGTGGTGTTCGTCAGGGTTGCACTCTCTCTCTGTCTCTGTTTCTATTTAATCTCGTGATAGATACAATTCTTGAAATAGCCCTATCCTCAAACGAGGATAGCGGTATCAAGGTGGCAGACTGTCTGATTTAGATTACGACATTGCGCTGCTAAGTGAAGATCCAAGTAAGTTGCACGCTTTTCTGGATAGTTTGTGTGCTAGTGTGTCCATTTTCGGTATGCATTTTGCACCTTCAAAGTGTAAAATGCTACTACAGGATTGGGTTGGTCCAGCACCCAGTCTCACCCTGACTGGGGAAGTAGTAGAGGAAGTAGACAAATTTTGCTATCAAACTATCCAGAAAAGCGTGCAACTTACTTGGATCTTCACTTAGCAGC